ATTCTGAGTGAGTGGATATCGGGTAGGCAACTAGTGGACTCTTTTTATGTGTGCGTGGTAGTTTTCTCCCGATTCTTTAAGATCTCCCCATACAGTTGTGTAACTTCTGAATTTTGTTTGTTGGGGGGAGAGGAGGTGGGGGAGGATTTGGGGCAGTTGATGGTGGTGTTTGAAAGTAATGTAAGGTGGGGCACCTGGGTGGCTCAGTGGGTTAAGCCTCTGCCTTCGGCTCAGATCATGATCTCAGGGTCCTGGGATCAAGTCCCATATTGGGCACTCTGCTTGGCAGGGAGCCTGCTTCCTCCTCTCTCTCTCTCAGCCTGCCTCTCTGCCTACTTTTGATCTCTGTCTGTCAAATAAATTAAAAATTTTTAAAAATATTGTTTAAAAAAAAAAAAAGAAAGTAATGTAAGGAGAACTTAACAGCTAGCTGGGCCCTGTTTCATGCATTAGCTTTTGTAATCTTTACAACAAGACTTTGGATGGGTATCCTGGTCATCCTTACTTTATTGACAAGGAAAATGACTCTCAGAGCAGTTACATAACTCACCCAAGGTCACACAGCCAGTAAGTGGTAAAGATTGGATTTCAGCCCGGAATCTTCTGCCTTCATGGCCACAGCCTCTTATCCGGCTCTGCTGCTTCCCTGTTCTACCTTCTCTTAGCCTTAATGGAAACATTAAGGACATGGTGTTGGTTTCCTGGCCAATTTTATGTCTCATTTCCCAGCTGACCTCTGGACCACAGCTACTTTACCTGGTACCCATAGCCACTGTGTAGCCTTCGTCAAATCCACACTTTTCTCCTTTCATCCTCCAAGCATTGTGTTTACTCTGTGTGTTGGCAGCAGAAACCGAAAAGGAAATGCAGAAAAAGCATCTAACGGTTTTCATAACGTAAACCAAATGTTGGTAGCGTGGGTGAGCTCTTGGGAGGAAAGGCGCTATATAAATCTGACAAATAAATAAATAACTGGTTCTTTAAATAAACTGGCACCGAAAGAGCCTTCATCCGTCACCTATGGAATTTAAGCTCACTCAAAAGTCAGAAATCTTTTGCTCCCCAGCTGAGTTCACTACGGCCACCACGGAGGAGTTCTGCTGGGATGGCGGTGTGGGAGGAAGAAGGGAGGGGGGTGAGCAGGAGAAGGGTGCTTGTGAGGAACCAAGCAGCTCCTCCACTGAGCATGATTGCCTGCCTCAGTAAACAGGAGACATCCTTGTCAGAGCTGTATTATATATACAACACATTCTTAGATACTTCAAAAGGATTGCGGAAAGGGGAAGGGGGTTCAAATGAAGGTCAGTGAGTAAAGTTCACAGAATGTATTTTGAGGACAAGAACGGAATTACTTTACTAATCTCTGCGAATAAAACCCATTATCAGCAGCAAGCTCTGAGAGACTGTTTCTCCAAGTATGTTGGTTTTGTGACCTACCCTTGCCATGCCACTCCCTCAAAACAAACCAGGACTGAACCATCCCAATTATAGACTCTCTCCTGCAGATCCCAGGCCTCTAAGCTCCATGCACCCTTGAAGTAGGGCTTGGGGGAGGGACAGGGGCTGCTGGCTGGTACCCATATGGAAATACCTTTTCCTGAAGGGGCCACACCAGGCTGACTCTAGAGTTTCATTCTGGAAGGTGAGAAGCTAGGCACCCGGAGGAAGTGAAGGACTTGGGCCTGCCAGCTGCAGAGGCTCTGGTTACAGAACTAAGCAGTTCTGTGCCCTCTCAGAGCCATCAAAGGAAGTGATTTGTGGAGGTTACCTTTGAAGGTGCTAAGATGGTGGCGGAGCGGAGAGCGTGTGGAAGATGGGTGCCTTTGTTCCTGTTCCTTCCTGCGGGTGTAAGGCTTGGTACTTTATAAAAATAAGGCCTTGAGAATATCTTCATCTTTCTTTTCTGCCCACTTCTTCAGAATTCTCTTCAGAAATTCAGGTTTGCAGTGTGCTGCTGCTGCCTGTATTCTAAATGTCAAGCCTAAACCCGGGTTTTAAATTTACACTTCTTCAAAGACCATGGAAGGGTTTCCTTAAATAACAGCAACCTTGAAAATCCGCATTCCTGATGAAGTTCCACTGTAATGCATTCAGCACCACAGCGAAAGGCTCTCAGCCCACCGAACCTTCTACAGTTGGTACAACTTGTGTAATACATTGACCAGGCAGATTCCGAGGCCTTTGGCGTCTGGGATAAAAGAATGAGCATATGTAAAATTGTTTGGTGATCTTCATGTTGGGGCATGATCTTACGGCGCTGCTTTTGGTAAGGTAGTAAAGATTCCCACAGAGGGAGTGCCATGCTAAACTCTGATCTTAACAATGTTTTATCTGCATCCAAATCTCTTCAGTTAAAGATTTTAAATCTTGATATTCTAGAAATCTGTTGGCCACCTGTTGCCACAGATTGATTCAAATCAAATCCAAATTATTTTATGAAAACTATTCATAGGAGTCAATCTATAATTAGAGTAAGACCTTAATATTACAGGATTCTGTTGTTGATTTTAAATAACCTATTGGAATTCGTTGTTGTGAACAGGTTATTTCTGAACCTGAACCTCAGCTCTTGCTTTCTGTCTGAGGGCATATATTCACAAATGCTTTTCCTTATACACAGAGATGAGTGCCTTGCACATATTTCCTGGATGGAGACCTCACCTTGACGGTTACCATCTCTGACTTCTAAACCCATCCTCCTGAAGTCTGGTAGTGCTTACAGCGGGGGTGCAAACTGTACTTAGTAGGCATGATTTTTATTTCGTCATTCCAGTAGCATTATGATGCAGAATACGCCCCCATGTTACAGACGAGGAAACTGAAGCCAAGAAAATGTACCGTCTATCATTTTCCCTTTCACTATACTGCCCTTCCAACAGAGAAAAGGCAGTTGGCACACTTCCAGATTTTTCTGACAGCTCAAGGATATTAATGCTACTCAGTTAATAACAAAAGGCTTTTATTGCTCTGTCTTATCATAAAGTAGTGTATATTTATTAAACTGTAGATGAGCAAATCCCCTAATATCATAACCAACCAAAGATAAGCAGTATTCACATTTATATAAGTATGCAGATCTCTCCAAGGTTTGTATGACACCATACTTTTTTTTCATAATTTTTATTTTTGCAAAAATCTGATGCTCTTTGGAACTATTTCACAATACCTCAAAAATCTCTTTCCAGGTTCTTACATATTTGTATTGCATCATATTCGATTGTTGCTTTCAACTCAGTCGCTGTATCACAATGTGTTTATTAGCCAGTTTCCTTGTTGGAGGCTTGCACTGGTGGCTGTCCTTGTAGCTAGATCTCATCATATCTATGATTTCAGTGCTTTTTGTGTACCAGGCACAGTTCTGTTAACCACCTGTTCATCCTCCAAGTAACCAGGACAAACCTTTCTCTCTTAGTACTTTTTTGATCACTGATGAAATTGAACTGCTTTTTTGTTGACGATCATTAGTATTTCTTCTTTATTTATGTCTGTTACCAATTTTTTTCTACTGGGATAGTCATTCTCCACTGATTTTTAAAAACTGCTTGTTGTAACAGTATTAACATTGCTGTACCTATTAGAGACTTTTCCCCTCAACAGTATTAACATTGCTGTACCTATTAGAGACTTTTCCCCAGCTTGTTTGGTTTTTGTTTTTGATGTTTTCTGACTGTTAGAGACATTCTCCTCAGTTTGTTTTCTTTTGATTTTGTTTCTGATGTTTTTTGACCTGTAGAAATTTATACAATGAAGAATATCCATATTTATCTTGACGATTTCCATTGTTGGTATGATGCATAGAAAGCTTTTCCCTCAATCCAAGATCATATGTTTCCACATATATTTTCTCTGCCATTAAGATTTCACATTGAGGGGCTCCTGGGTGGCTCAGTGGGTTAAGCCTCTGCCTTTGGCTTAGGTCATGATCTCAGGGTCCTGGGATTGAGCCCTGCATTGGGCTCTCTGCTCAGCAGGGAGCCTGCTTCCCCCTCTGTCTGCCTCTCTGCCTACTTATGATTTCTCTCTCTGTCAAATAAATAAATAAAGTCTTAAAAAAAAAAAGGTTTCACATTGAAATCTTGAATCTATTTGAAATTTATTTTGACATGTGGTATAAAACAGGGACTTCTCTCCCCCTCCACACACACACACTAATTTGAAATGCTAACTTTACAAGTAGTAAATTTTGGATTATACCTCAGTTTTTTACTTTTCTTTCAATTCCTTTGATATACCTATCTTTCATTCCTTGTATTGCTGTTTTCATTACTGCAGTTTTGGAAAATTTGTGAATATCTAATATATCATCATTTCTTTTAAAAAATTATTTAATATTTTAAATAAAAAATTAGAATCATTTTATCAAGTTGATTGGGAAGTCATTGCTTTAAAAAAATAATTGTTAACAAATGAATAGCTTCAAAGTCCTAAATATTTTCTCTTTAATTAAATTTTCTTTCTTTTCCTCAGAAAATAGTTTTAAGGTTTTATTCTTATATGGCCTGCACATTTCCTGATTATTTCTAGAGATTTTCTGTTTTTTATTGCTATTATGAATGGGTTTCTTAAATTACATTTTCTAACTGGTCAGTCTGTACTCTTTGGTCTTTAAAATTTAATTCTATCTACAGGTAAAAGAAGGAATGAACTAGTAAATATATGTATATGTTAGTCATATTTGCAAATAAGTGGTCGTATATATTTAGACACATAATCTGGCCCAACTGTACAGATGGACTGTGTGAAATAAATGTGTGTGGGAGACAAGAGGCTATGTGTCATTGCTTTGTTTTTTGTTTTTTGTTTTTTTTTTGCCACTCCCTGACTCAAGAGGTCTGAACTATGCCATTTAATTTGGGGAAGAGGGTAAAATGTTCAGAAATAAGCATTAATAAGTGCTTTGCAAATAATTTCATTTATCTGAACTTCTAATTCCTATGCTAAATCAGAGGAGGCATATATCATATTCTTAGTTAAAAACTATAACTACTTTCTTCTTACAGATTTCAGAGACAACTGTCTGAACCCTGCCACCCCTTCCCTCCTCAATCAGGAGTTCCTGGAGATACTCGCCCCAATTACCACCGGCAAATGTCAGAACCTATTGTCCCTGCAGCTCCCCCACCCCCTCAGGGATTCAAACAAGAATACCATGATCCACTCTATGAACATGGGGTCCCAGGCATGCCAGGCCCCCCAGGCCCCCCAGCACATGGGTTCCAGTCACCAATGGGAATCAAGCAGGAGCCCCGCGATTACTGCGTTGATTCAGGTTAGCATAAAATCATGCCATTCCTTTCTTCATTCTCTCATTTATCTGTCTGGCTGTTATTGTCTTTTGTGTGCGCAGCTTTAGGGAATAGCTTTACTAAAAATTGCCCTCAAAGAACTTAGGAGCTAGTAAAGCAGACTTTATGCACAGCTGAGTATAAAACCAAACAGAAAAGCCATCCCATGGTAGGAAGGGCAGTAGGCATTGAGAGGTGGTGGGGAGAACACCTCTGAATCCAAGCCTAAAGATCCAGTCATGGTGATGCCCTTTTTTAAGATCATAGGATCCCTGGACCTAGGAAATACCATTTCTGCATTTTAGTCCTTGCTCCTAGCCTTATGGCTTTCCTTTTGAATACAGTAGACTCACCAACTCCCAATATGGGCATAAGGAAGAGAGTCTACACGTAGGATGGAATTCTTTCTATTATTGAAATGAATGGTATTTTGAGAAAGCACCTCGTATGTCATGACTATATGGGGTGCTGGGTACACCATGGAGAAGGCTGTCTCGTTGATTGCTTCTTGGGATTCACTGCCCTATTGCATTGCTTTCACCTGGGAAAGTTCCTGGTGTCCTTCAGAGGCTGTTGGTTTACGCAGGGAGAGGGCACCTGTTGTCTATTTGTGGGTTACCTCTTGTCTAGAAATGTAAGCACATCAAGAAGTTTAAGCTGTACTTGGGGGCTCTCCCCCCACCACCACACACACTCATTCACTATGTATCTTCTAGGCCCGGCATATAAAGTGACATCATTAGGGGAAAGAAGAGTTGGAATTTTGCAGTTTGCACATTTTGAAACTGTTTCCTCCTCTTCTCTTCCTCTTCTTTCAGAAATTACTTAAACTTCTTCAGTCTTTTCTTGCAGTTGGTGCTAAAGGAGTTTGAGGGTGGTAGGTAGGCTTTCAGCCTTTTCCATGGGTGCTTTTCTTGAAGAACCTGGGGGAGCAGTGGGGCAGTACGTATTTGAACGACTTTTGCAAATGGAATAGGATATACAGTTTGTTCTTGGCCTTCTGGGAGATAATATATAGATTGCTCAATTCAGGCAGAAATGGATTATGGGAAAGGCTGGGAAGTAGACAGAAGGGAGACATCTGTTGCTTTATGATATTAAAAAAAATTACCAAGTGTATGTATAGGTATTGATAGCTTGTAAAATTCCCACTGGCATTCCTCCTGAAGGCTTTGATGTATTTTTCTCAGGAACAGGCGTGACCAGCAACATTTTTCCTTTGGGATTGACATTTTAATCCATCCTGGCGAGTTTTTCACCCCACCCCACTCCCTTAAAGCAAGACACTCAGCAGATGTTACCATATCTGCAACTCATGTGTCCCACGTGGGCACAACTCAACCTACCAGCCTTCCTCTCAGTGGACATCTTGGTAACCCGACACTCGAAGAAGAGCTCACTTGAGCACAGGTTTCATTCCAACACTTCCAACATGGGGAAATGTACGTGCAAATGGCAGGTTCCCCCCTCCCCTCCTGCCAGCTCTTGTACTGGCTTCCTAACCTCCAATCCCCAAATCTCTTTGGCCCAGAAAGCACCCTCATCCATTGGAGCAGAATTGGATGTGACTGTCAGCTGTAAAGGGGAGCAAATTGGGAAATATGTAAAGCACCCCTCATCCCAGTCTAACCCCTAGAGCCTCTGAGTCAGTAGAGACAGAAGGCCAAGCTTGGCCTTTTGAAAGCCAAGTTTCTTTTTCTACTATTAACTCTCTCCCCAGAGTTTGGTGCTAACTAATTTCTAAGATGAACAAGTTATGAGAATAAAGCATTATTTTTTTCCTACTCATTCTTTTGATGAGGAGCCAAGAGTCCTACTTTCAGATGGTGGGTGATGGTGTTGCCCATGTTGTCTGTTAGGGTGACAACTCTCTCCCAGGTCAAGACAAGAAGGACATGACCTGGGAGCAGGAGACGGTCTAGGGGGCTTTACCACAGGCTGCAGGTCAAGAGATGTGCTGACTCACCTGCAGAAACTACTGACGGAGTGTATGTCTGTTTTTCTTTCAGAAGTGCCTAACTGCCAGTCGTCCTACATCAGAGGGGGGTATTTCTCCAGCAGCCATGAAGGTAAGTAAGTTTTAAAAAAAGAATATTCAAGCAAGCTGAAAATTGTTCAGCTTCCACACTAAGATTTGGGATCATAGATAGGTTAAACCTTTCTTGAGTCATGAAAATGAGAACTCATTGACAGTAACCTTCAGTCATTCTGCAGCATGGTCCTGAACGCAGTGAAGGCCACCATCATTTTCAATAGTAATGACTCAAACTTTTCAGAGTTCATGAGATAATATGAAGAAAAAATAAACCAATAAACCAAATAAAATTTCCATCCAAGGAGGTGTATCTAGCAGTATATAACATTACCAGCCTGAATGAGCACTTGGGAACTGTGTGACGACTTGAGATGGTAGGTTTAGGACTTCTTCTCTGAACACTGAAACAGGGAAGGGTTTTTTTTTCTTAGAACATTTTCCCCAGAAGTAGGTCTTGTGTTTTGTCATATACATCTCTCCTTAAATACCCAGAGACGTCTGATTCCCCAAAGCCATGGCATTAGCTTCACCTGGGATCTGTTGGAAAGGCAGGTTCTCAGGAACCCTCCGTCCACCTGCTGCCTTAGAGGCTCCAGGAGCCCAACACTCCGTGTGGTGACATACCTTCCACGTGATCCTGATTCTTGCTCTGGTTTCAGAACTATTATAGCACTGAGAGTTGCAGCTTTGGCTGCACGTTAGAATCAGCTGGGAGCTTTCAAAACTTTTGGTGTCTGGGCTTCACCCAGATCAAGTAAATCAGAAATTCTGGGGTGGGTCTTAGGCGGTAGTTCTTCTTAAAGGTCCCCAGGTGATTCCAATGTGTATCCAAGGAGGATTGAAAAGCTAATGAGGCAGTACTAGGAAGCACCTGCTCGTTTGTGTCATGATTGGTTCACAAGCGTGTTCTCTATGGGGAGCTGCTTCCCACTGACCTGGAGAGAGGCGAGACCCAGTGGGGTTGCACGGGGTGCCCGAGAATAGTGCCCGAGAATATTCGGAGTGCGTGTCCAGCCCTGGGAAGGAAGGGCCGTCTACCGGACCTCTGACTGCGATCGATCGGCACAGCTGTGCGAGGCTCTCTTCCAGGTTCCTGAATATTTCTGCAGCAGGCAAACTGGGAGGGGGTAGGGAAGAGAGGGAGGAAAACATTTTGCATAATTACAACATTTAGGAAGGAGCATGCTCTTAAAGGAAATATTTTTAGTAAAGCATTGGGCTGCTTACTACACACAGAATATCTGGCGAGTTTGTGTCTTCCCCCTACTTTCTTCCATTCCTCTCCCTGACCCCCCACGCGGCAGAGAAGCTAGTTTCAAAGAGACCCGCATTCTTAATTGCTCTAAATTACCATGATGTGGCTTCTCCTTCCTTCTTCTAGAGGCTTGACCACGGATTCCAGTTAGTGAAACAAGTGTTTCTGATTGGCATCTGTGATTACTAAGATAGCCATCCTGCCTTAGCATTCGTTCACCTGGAATCTCTGCACAGCGGGTGAATCTTTCATTTCCACTGGGCTCCTCAAATAGGTTCTTCCTTCCTGCCACCTTTGAGTGGTGGGATGGTTGTGGCCACAACTGCTGTAACTGCTGGGGCAAATTCAACTGACTTAATTTCACATAAGCCAACAACATCTTGCAGATGTTTAGAGAACCTCGTGGGGCAGCGACTAGAAACCGCAGATACACTGAAATGACACTCACGGGCAGGCCCTCATCTGATTGGTTTGAAAGCCAAACCTAGAATTTCATTTAGGTTTACCTTTTTTCTCCCTGTATACAGTGAATATATTATCCTTACAGATAATACAAGTTTGACAGATGTGTAAATTTCAAAGAGTTTCCTCATAATGGCTTTATAATAAGGCCATTAAAACATCACTGGAGTATCAGAATCCAGAAGGAAAGTCAGGAAATTTATAGCTTCCTGGCAGCCAAGGCAGAAAGAAAGAGAGAAAGGGAGAAAGAAAAGAAAGAAAGGGAAAAATAGAAAGAAAGGAGGGAGGGAGGGAAAGCAGGGAGAGAAAGAAAAGAAGGAAGGAAGGGAGAAAGAAGAAAAGAAAGAAAGAAAAAGAAAGAAAGGGAGAAGGAAGAAACATGAGGAGGGATTATGTAATTCTTATTGGTAATAAAAAGTATAACAGTTTGTCATAAAAGTCAATTTCCTGGTACCAGATTGGAAAATAAATTTATCATAGGATTCACTGAAACCCTGACTTAAAAGCAAGTATTGTGTTCTTAAATCTTTTTTTAATGGAGATTCTTTCATATTTATTCAAATATTTGTTGAGCACTTATTATGTATAAGGCGATATGAGATTACAAAGATATTCAGGACATGTTCTTTATCCTCAAGGAATTTAGAACCCATGAGAGATACTATGAGATAAAGCTCTCACATTATCCAGTTAATTTCTTTTTTTGGGAGGGCGTGAGGGAGACAGAGAATCTTCAGGCCCAATCTCACAACCCTGAGATCATGACCTGAGCCAAAATGAAGAGTCGGACACTTAACCAACTGAGCCACTCGGGCCCCCCTACCGTTAATTTCTTTCTTTTTTTTTTTTTTTTAAGATTTTATTTATTTATTTGACAGACAGAGATCACAAGTAGGCAGAGAAGCAGGCAGAGAGAGAGGAGGAAGCAGGCTCCCCACTGAGCAGAGAGCCCTATGCGGGGCTCAATCCCAAGACCCTGGGATCACGACCTGAGCCGAAAGCAGAGGCTTTAACCCGCTGAGCCACCCAGGCGCCCCTCCTACCATTAATTTCTTAATAGTACTCATCGCAATGTACAGTTACTATCTTAATCTTTTTAACTATCATTTATTGTACACTTATGTGCCAGGCACTACTCTTGACACCAAGGTAAAAAGATATACAGATCAATATAACAGAGTATATATTAATAGCCCATATTCTCACACAACTAATTCTCATACAGTTAGCATCTTCCCCTGTCTGCAAATGAGGAAGCTGGAGCGCAGAGAGGTCACACAGCGAATCCAGGTTCGTCAGTCCGGCTCCATGGCCGACACTCTATAATGCTCCCCACTACCCCAAGTCTCACTTTTCTTTCCCAATAGTCTCCTGCCTTTGGGATACAAGCTCCATGAGAGCAAGCACCAAGTCTCTGTTCTTCTTGTTACCCACCCTCTTCTAGCACAGTGCCTGGCATAAATATTTATTGGATTAAATAATAAATAAATGTCAATAAAATATACTAATAAATAAATGTCAGTAAAATAGACTTCCTTTGATATCGTGCGGCAAACCAAGAAATAGTGCTTCGGGCTGAGAAAATATAAATGAGTAGCACACACCCTAAGATAATCTCAGTCTCTTCCAAGGTGGGCGGTGCTTTCCCAGTCCCAGGCCTTTTAAACACAGCACTGGTCCTGCCAAGAAGAACTTGATCTTGGCCGATTGTGAAGAAAGAACAGATTATTTTCTGGCGTCTTTACCCGTGAACTTTTCAAGTCCTAGCAAATCCTTCTCAAAATCTCATGCTAGTCATTCACCGCAGTGCAGGCTCACAGCATCTCCCCACCACACACCTGCCATGCACATACCCGACACACGCACACCCCCCTGTACTGCCCACCCAGCTGGACAGAGCAGGGCACATGGCTGAGCTCACGGAAGCTGCCAGGACTCTCTGCTGAGGAGTGTGCTGGAAGGGGAGCAGGGCTGGCATGCTCACCCCTAAGAAACAGGCTTGCCACAGGGAGGGATGTGGTCCCATCAAGCCTATTAACTGACTTTGATTTGAACCACTGATCTTGTCAGGGTGCCTGGTGACGTGACTGGGTGGTCAGCACAGAAGGCGCACATTCTGGATTGAGAGTGCTGGCCATCCTTCCCTCTCCTTGACCCCTTTCACTTTTTGCCCTCCCTTCCTTTCATTTCCACTTACACGTGTTGAGCCCATCAGTTCCCCTTTTTTGACCTCTGGTTTGTTAACTCTATGATGAACAAGTTTTTATTGCTAGGAAGTCTCTTCAGATTTCTTCCATTATGTCTGGTGATAATACTTCCATCTTGCTTTTAAATTTATTGAGGGTCACAATCCTCCACAGGCCCAAGTCTTTATTCATTTTGGCAGCATTGTCCACCCTCCAAGCTCTTTCATAATTGAAAGAGGTACACGGGCAGCCTCAACAAGTCCTGGGAAAGGTTGAAATGAATATTTGCTAAAAGGAAAATGGCAAGACTATGTACAGATCAACCAAATCCTCCCAGGTAGGCCAACTGAAATAGATGAGTTGTCTTTTCAGATATAAAAGCTTAGTCACGGCAACACTGACCTGTACAGACCTTATAGCAATATGTGAAGGAACTTACTGGTGACTCAGCACTTCCCTGAAGTCTTAGCTCGAGTAGGAGGAATCGATGCTTCTCTGACTGAGGCATCAGAACACCAATGCCTAAATCCTTCTGAAGCCCTGTCAGATCCAGTCTGGCACACATATGGCAATTAGTAGGGCTTAGGACTTGAAATAGCAGAATTCCATTTTAGTCCTTAAAACCAGAGTTTTAGTAGGATACAGACAGAATTTGTTAAGCAACATGTTCATTCTTTTTAAATTTTCCTTCAGGTTTTTCATATGAAAAAGATCCCCGGTTGTACTTTGACGACACTTGTGTTGTTCCTGAGAGACTGGAAGGTAAGTAGCTCCTCCAGTTTGTTGCTAAGCCAGAATGTCAGCGATATCAGAGCCCCTCAATCTTGTGAATGCCAGGTTGGCATTCATAACTCCTTCATGCCCAAATTGTCCAAGAAACCTAAGACTAAACTATTGCATGTATATCCTCATCCCAAACAGGCAAAGTCAAACAAGAGCCCACCATGTATCGGGAGGGGCCCCCTTACCAGAGGCGAGGTTCTCTTCAGCTGTGGCAGTTCCTGGTTACCCTGCTTGATGACCCGGCCAATGCCCACTTCATTGCCTGGACGGGCCGTGGCATGGAGTTTAAGCTGATAGAACCTGAGGAGGTAAGCACCGGTGCCGGGCTTGGGTGATGTTTGATTGGTTGATGATGACAACAATGATGATGATGTCTGCTCTTGTTCAGTTCTCAACGGAAGCTTCTTACTGTGTTAAGGATGCTCTTCTCATTCAGATTCTGACCCGGCCAGTGGATTTGGCAGTTCTTTTCCTATTACTAGGACAAGTTACAATTCGGGGACAGGCAAAGTTCTCCACTGTAGAAAACACAAGAAGTATTAGTGACATGTCTGTAAAATCGGAAGAGTGGGGCCACAAAGACTTGCATCCAGAGAGCATCTGTTTTCCATCTCGAAAAGTCTTTTTCAAGTGTTGTTTCGGTGATACCAATATGTTGGTGATACCAACTTGTGTTGGTGTGGGTCCTCATTTGTCACAGGCTATATTTCAGGTTACGTTAACATATTGTATGACTTTGTGGTAATATCAGATGCAACTACAATACAACAGATTGTATATTTCAAATGACTCTACCCTAGAGAAATAAAATGATCAGAAATGAGTCATTCTTGTGGGCTTAAATTTTTCTTAAGTGTATTATGTGGCATCACAATAGTTGAGAGGTAGCCCAAACCTTCATTATCCTAATAGAAAAAGAAACACTATTACTATTTGTTTGCCCAGAACTATTGACAGAAAGGCCTATAGACAACATCAGCATCATTTCTTCAATGGGGAAAATCTACAGAACCCCTTTCCTGAATATCACATAGGGAAGTAAATTAAATCATGTCCTCAGTTTGGCATATTCCAAAGGGGTTGATTTTAAAATCTATTTGATTTAGACTCTAGAGATATTATAAATGGGGGGAAAAAAAACTCCTGAAAATCTGATACAGGCTTCTTCTGGTAGCTTATACCTAGGCATTATACGTTAAACCAGCAGAGCAAAAGCTATCTTTGGGTTGGATGTAAATGAAATGGCAACAGTCCTCTTAGCAGGCATTTGAGCAAGAATGGCGGTTTTAGATGTTGTTGGATTAACTCCAGGGCTCACCTCGGCACACCAAAGGGATCAGTTGGCCTGGGGGTCAACAGCAGGAAATAGCCACTTGGCACTTGGTTTGGAAGAAGAAAATGGTCTGAAAGTTAAGATGAGAAAAGGAGACTATGTGGATTGGAAATGTCTCAAGAATCCCGGCTAGTAGGAGGGTAAGGAAGGCTTCACTGAAGGCAGTTATAGAAGAAGGATCTGTGGTTTTCCCTGTCTTGCGTCTTTCATAAAAATGAAAGAATGTCGCCATCTCCCGTGGTCACCCATTTCTGTTAAGACTGAGTCTCCCTTCAAAGCCGGAGTTTGGTACTCCTGTGTTTCTCGAAGGTTTTCCTGGAGCAAGTCAGGTGGAAAATGGAGGCATGCCCAAGAGCCATCTGCCCTAAGGCTCTTCCTTCTAACCTGGACTAGTTGACTGGATGCTTGAAGAAAGCATGTTGCCTGGACTCACCGAGGCTTGAGGCAAGCGAGTCTGTGTCTGTCATGGGGGCTGTCCTTACTGATTTATCTCATTTCACAAACAGGAGCTTTTATTCCTTTATTGCCACTGCCTTGGGCCTGACCACAGGCTGTGCTGTTGAAGGTGAACCTGGCTATGACCCTCTGAAAGCCGTTATTGAATCTTTGGCTCTCCTACCAGCTGGAAAGACAATGATGAACCAATGGTAAAAGGTTCCTGCTTTCATACTTCTTAGAGAAACTAACATTAGTCCAAAATGCTCATAAATGCCAAGTAGCCAAGTCACACGAGAGGCCTCTTGTGGCTTTGCGCCTCCCTCAGCCGACAGGACGGCTTCGTTTCTGCAGGAATCCTTCTTTCCACCCCACCCTGAAATCCCCTGGTGCTCCACGAGCTCTGAGTGATCCACTCTCTGATGTTCCAGAACCACTTCTGTTCCACGTGCACACTTTGGCCTCAGGACACGCAGCGGGCAGCGTTGGCTGAGCTCTTTCCCTCCCGGTTGTGTTAACTTCACCATCCCCACTCTTTGTTAAAGCCGGGAAGATACCAACTCCTCGAGAAAGCTGGAAGACGTTGTCATGGGGGGAGCTTGAAGGGTGAAGCGGAGGAGGAAGCTGTTTGGGACGTAATTGTAGGCAGCTGTGTGGCTGAGTAGTGCACTCTGGGTAATTATCCATAATATCCATTACACTGTGCATGGAAATTGTGGTTTTAGAGCTGCGTTTTGGCAGGCCCCCTAATCAAATGTCTTTTGATAGTCATCCAGCTTAGCACCCTCTCAATTATGACTGACTCGGCTTTAATCTGGAGCCATTTTAACTGTGAATCTGCATTAATGAATATTTTGGGGGGTAGGGTTGTTTGTTGAACATGTGGCAGATAACTGATGCCATGGGGAGGTTTAAAAGGATGGGCTTCGAGAAGGAGCTGCTCCCCGTGCTGTGGCTTGCTGTCTCTTGAAGAGGGAGGAAGAGAAATGTGAGGTTTTTTTTTAACTCTTTCGGCCTCTGTCCTCAAGATGTGTGTGATCAAAGTAATGAATGGGAAAATGACAGAAAGAGCTGCTAACAAGCTCTTGCCTGCTCCCCTTCCCCCAGAAATGGGGCAGCCCTCATTTCCAGCAGCTTGCCGTTGTGCTTCATCATGCATTACTGTAGAAGGAGCAGCCCTGGGGAGGGCTCCTGAATCACAGGGCCCTGGCCCAAGAGGATGAGTCAGTAACTATGGCTACCAGAGCTGCTTGGAAGTCCGTGCGGATGCAGAACCGAGCTCCAGGAAGCCATTGCATATGCAAGTGACAGCAGAGAGAGGTCAGGGCCGAAGCTGAAGAATCTTCCAGAATTGATTTCCACCACTGAATACAGGAAGACGATGAGACTGGGCTTCCTTTTGGGTTCCTGGCAACTGGCGGGCTCACAGCAGTTCAAAGTCAGCTTCGAAGTCATTGCTTTTGAACAGGGTAGAAGGATGTGTATTGGTTGAGCAGGTCTCTCTTGCACCGCTGTTTCTGTTGGTTGAAAATGTTTATCTTTTGTAGCCAAGGGATGGATTTTTGGTGAACTGTGCCTTTTTGGCTATTTCAAAAGAGAGACTTGGATGGGTGCAGTATGGAGAAAGAAGGAGAGCCAGGGACTTCGTGCGTGCCATAGGGGCCCAAGGGAAACGAATGGAAACTTCACTTTCACACGGTCTGTTGCAAGGCAGAGAGGAATCAGAATCATGACTATTGAATTATTTTAATGTAATTAGGACAGACGCATTCTTCCTTGCTTATCAGATCATTTCTGGTATTTTTAAAGGTCATTTTAGAATTCTGATTTCAGAAGATGTTGCTTTCATTCTGCCCAGATGCTTTAAGTGAAATGCTTTTTTTTTTTTGATCCACTTTCCCATTTGCAGTCTCCCTACTTCCCACTCCATGTGTAACATCTGTTTTTTTAAAGATCAAAGGAATATAGTTATTTTGTTTTTGTTTTTTCTTGAGTTTCCAAAAGTGACCTCAAATATTCAAAACATGACCCCTGGTTTCCATACATTTAAAGACCTCTGAGAAGACTCCCATTTCTAAAGTTACTCTTCTCCTATATGGACGGTCATCCTTACAAGTAGGATTTGGACATTGGGATTTTTGAGAACAGAAATTGCTTGGCTGTCCTGACAATTGAGTAAACTCTACTAGGAAGTTTTCTTGCTATCAGGCATCTTTGCCTAAAACTCCAATTACATCTCCCCATCACTGCACCTCAGGTGGACTGGGTTGGATATAATGCACTTCAGAACTGTTTGGGAAGCCCTGTTAATTTTTCATTAAGTGGATAATGGTGCTGCATGTTTTAATGTCCATTCTGCAAGTCTGCTGGGAGCAGGGGATTGGATGGCAGTGGGCTGGAATGATCTGGTTCCCCCTTACTCCATGAGCTGCAGTAAGTAAACAGCTCCCAGCCCCTCGCCAATCTTATTAGAATTGAACTTTTGCTCTGCTGGCCCATTAGCAACTCACTAGTGTGTTTCTAATGTTTCAGGAATGACCATTCTAATTATTCCTTATTGACTGCTACAGAAACCATAGCACTTAATGGCAACATGTTAATGGTCTATGGGTATTGGTCAATAATTCATATGTGGAGAAACAGTAGAGAGCCTGCTTCCTCTGGGCCATTAGCCAAGCCCTCTGTAATCTTAAAGTGCTAGGATCCTTCCACCTCTGGATCCCACCTCTCTTAGCGGTTGTGACTGACTCATCACCTTTGTTGAATATTGGGTCTTGAGGGAATTAAGTATTTTTGCTTCCAGGTCAGGGAAGCGGACCATTGGCCAAAGCAGTCAAGTCTCAGAACTGGCGCTCCCGGGATTTGGAGAATACCACTAGGCCCAAGGAACGAGTTTCCATTGCTCTCTACTTCCCTGTCTCTTTAGGTTGCTCGGCGCTGGGGTATCCAAAAGAACCGGCCAGCCATGAACTATGACAAGCTCAGCCGTTCTCTACGCTATTACTACGAAAAGGGCATCATGCAGAAGGTGAGCAGTTACGAGAGGCATCTAGACCACTCTGACCACTTTCAAACATGTCAAGGGCTTCTGTAATACGACCGTGTGTAATGGCTGGGAGAAAATGCTCGCCTCATAAGCGATTCTGTGGTAGGAAAAAACTTGGGAAAAAAAACTTAAGAGTGAAATGAGATGTAAAGAGTATTTCTAATGCTCTTGGGTACGCGAACACCAGAGGTTGCACATGGAACACACTACAGGAAAATTAGGCCCCCCAGCTTTACTTAAACTACCTCTAATTACCAAAATGTCCAGAAACATAGGCCAACAGTTACATCTGTAAAGTAGTACATGGAGGAATCAGTTTGAAGGCCTCCACTCCCATAAGATCTGAGCTGAAGTCTTTAGTTGTCAAAATACCCAGACCTCTAAATCTCTTGGTTTCATAGTCTCAATAGTGTTAGAGGAGTAAGGAAATCCTATTTCTCTTTAAGAACCTATAGAAAAAACTGGAACTCAAATGTAAAAAACAACAACAAAACAAAACAAAAAAAACACAAGGTTTGTAGAATGGCAGCAGAATCAACTAGTACCAGGTCACTCTTTGCAGAATGAAGGCTAAGGCATATTTTGAGGAAGCCGGTACAAAAATCCTCATTGAGATGGGTGGAAAGGGACCACGATCTGAAAATTCCGTGGATAGGAAGAAGATGGGAATGGTTAATCACTGGTTCATCTTTCTTAGCCACCGTATTTTATGCCACGCTCTTACCCAGATTCTAACATTTACACATTTAGGCCGTCTGTGGTGGGTAGCCAGTAAGATGCAGTGGCAGAAGTGTACGGCCATGGCTGCTGAAAACCTGTCTGCTGAAGCCAGGCTTACCTCTTTCATAGGCAGGTGGTAATGGGACCCCAGGTTCCTCTCACCACCTTCAAAAGTATTAAACAGTTTGCCATGGGCCTCTCGATAGAGAAGAAAGGTGAAGATAAAGATAAAGTCTTACAGACTTTCTCGTGTTTCATACAGACTCTAAGGCTATTGCTGGTCTGGGTACCATCACCAACTCCTGTCTCCTCACCCACGCTTGACTGCTTTCACTAGCATGGCCATCTTCTCTTAATTCATGTAGCATTTGTTTACCAAAGAATATACACCACGTGCATGGAAGTCATCAAGCATATCAGAAAGTGGGAAAAAAAAAAAAAACACGATTAAACTGTCATTCTATTTAAGAACTAGAACATTCCTAATGCCTTCATTACCTGGCCAGCCGATCATCACCTCATCACTCCCAAGAATCTGAAGTCCTGAGACTGGGTCTCCTTTCTTGCCCCCAGTAGCCCCCACGCACCTCTCCATCATGGTCCTTCTCTCTGTACTGTACTGTGAGCTCCTCTGGGGCAGCGCGGAGGGTTTGACTATAGTGCTTGGCACAGAGTTGATAGACAATCTAAATGGGCAGTCTCTCAACTTCCCCTTTCTGTAAAGTATACAATTCAGTGGTTTTTAAAATATATTCACAGAGTTGTACAATCATCACCACAATCAATTTTAGAAGATTTTATCACCCCAGGAAGAAACCCCAAACCCATTCGCAATCACTTTCCATTTTCCCCCAAACCTCACACACACACACAATGTTAATACTATCAGGTGGAATCCTAAAATTCAGGAAGAAGAGCTATTATTCCTTTGCTATTCCCAACTCCAGATCCAATCTGAGGGAATGTGACCAAGACACAATAACTTGAACTACCAACAGTGAGTTGTCCCTGGACTAGGTCCTCAGTTGTTTCAAGAAGTGGAAGAGAACTTCATTTCTGAGGACAAAAGAGGCAAAGAGTACCAGGAGGCACAAGAATGAGGCTTGGATGGCTTCCAATCCTAACACTCCCATTTATTAGTTGGATGCTTTAGATTGACCTGCCAAAGCCTCTCTTCCCCAAAAAACAAAACAAAACAAATAAGCAAACAAAACAATAAAAAAAACCCTACTGTAACTTCACAGGGTAATATATGTGAAAATGTCCCAGAGATAATACTGTGCTATGCCATGTAAGGAATTGTTGTTATATTTATGACATGACCCATGAGTGAAAGAGAACTAATTAAGGGTGAATGATAGGATGCCCGCATGGGGAGAGATATAGAAAACCTGGGGTCCCCTACTCTCAGCTTTTGAAAGGGAAAATTGAGGTGCACAGAGGTTAAGACTCATTAGTGACTGAACGAGGGTGGGAAGCCATCCATTCCTGACCCCTGATCTCATATTATTTCCACTCTGCCTTTCTACCTCACTCTGCTGCATATATGTACTGGCTTTCGGGGTGGGCCATCAAGAGATTTAGCGTTAAGCCTGTAACTTAAAAAACTAAATAGGGTTGATTGGGTATATCTGCTACCCTTACATCTTGTTTTGGTGAAGATGCTGCTTGTTCAGTTTCGCTCACACATCCCCTAACTCCTAGTGCTTGAGTTCCAAAGAACATTGGTGCAGACAGCTGTGTTCTGGTGACTAGACAGACATGTTACCATAAAATAAGCTTTCGGACCTATTAGGAGAATTCTACCATTTCCTCTCTGAGCTGCCACCATAGCAACAGACTTTTTTAAACCCAAGATTTGGAAGCAAAGCCATATTTCTGCAATTGAAAAGAGATTCTAGAATCACAACATAATGACCGAAGGGCAGGGTAAGACTTGACCTTTTGAATTTTTGAGCTTAAACATGTTCATTTTATCAGTAATTTCAGCGGCCTTCCCTTGCCCCTTTGCATTACCCAAGCCAAGCACACTATCAGGCTTGATTTTCAATGGTGGAGGTCCTCTTGCACTGATGCTAACCAACCAGCAGAGAATGGCTGATCCCATGGACCTGGATGGCTCGTCAGCTACATCGTGAGGCCTTTGAATCAAGACCTTTGGTTCTAATAATAAGATAATGCATAAAATTCATAAAAAGGTAGTTAGCAGTTCTTCGATGTAGCAGAACCATGGAATGCAAAATTTAAAACCATAGGTAAGCCAAAAAGCAGTTCTGTTTGGCTTTGGAACACATTCAAATTTCCGCATAGGCTCTACTGATCAAATTCCTAGCCCTTTGAAATAACAAAGCTGTACCGTGAAGACTGTGAACTTTGGAGGTAACTGAAAACATGGCCTGACTTCTGCTTTTCACTTTTCAATCTTCCTTATAACACCAAGCACCAGCCTCGGTATAACCTTTCTTTCTCACCTGTGAATATAACACAGTGAGAATTTTCCTCTAAAAGAACATAAATAAACAAACAAACAAAAGGTGAGCCTATCCAGCGTGAATTTGAAATTGGGGTGTCTTTCAGTCAGTCACATGACACCGCTGCTGAACGGTGGTGTCAACAAAACACTTGGCACATAAGAGGTCTCCCAGATTTCTCAAAATAAATCAGAATGGTTTGGGCCATCAGCTACTAACGAGCGTCCTTTGGTCCCTGGCTCCTTGAGAACTTGTTGACATATGAATACCTCACCATTCTTCCCTTCCCTGGGTTTCCTCCCCCCACCCCTGCAACCCCGTGCCCTGTGTCAGCTGGGCCTGAGAAGGTGTGCTTTCTCTCTCAGGTGGCCGGGGAGCGATACGTCTATAAATTTGTCTGTGACCCGGATGCCCTTTTCTCCATGGCCTTCCCCGACAACCAGCGTCCGTTCCTGAAAGCAGAGTCTGAGTGTCACCTCAACGAGGAAGATACCCTGCCGCTGACCCACTTTGAAGACAACCCAGCTTACCTCCTGGACATGGATCGCTGTGGCAGCCTCCCCTATGCCGAGGGCTTTGCTTACTAAGTTTCTGAGTGGCTGAGCGGCCGAACCCTAGAGCTAGCAGTTCCCATTCAGGCAAACGAGGGCAGTGGTTTTGTGTGTGTTTTTGGCTGTTCCTAAAGCTTGCCCTTTGAGTATTATCTGGAGAACCCAAGCTGTCTCTGGATTGGCACCCTTAACGACAGATACCTTGGCTGGGGAGTGGGAACAGGGAAGGGACCGAAAAACCACCAAAAGGCTGGTGCCTCAGCTCTGATCCTGACAAGGTTTCTGGGAAGAGATTGCAAAGGAGCCGCCTTCCCACGGACAATATCTGCAAAGCAATACCTTGTTCAGGTTAGTGCCCACAAACCGGGACAGAGTGTGTGACAATCTGCATTGGTCATGGACTACTAATTGCCTTTACATCGAAGGGCTCTGATTTGCACAATTTATTGACAAAGAAATGACAAACCCATAGAACGTTCGGCGAAGAAGCTGGGGCAGCTCAGCCCATGAAGGGTTAAACATAGATCTTAAAATTCGGAGAGCTCTTCAAGCTCAAGCTGAAAAGTTTCCCCCTGGGTCTAGAAAGAAGGGGGTGAAAGTCAGAACAGCTGTTACCCACTCCGTGGTTCTCAAATAATAAACCGTCGCTCCTCTTGGGAACCTTCTAGCCATGTGGTTACCACGTAGAACAAGCCCCCTTTCTCTCCCCAGTCACACGGCTGTGTGTGGACGGCTTTCATTGTAGAAGGGTGACTTACACTTTTGACAGTATTTTGTTTTGCTTCGATTCGGGGGATCGTTTTGTTTTGGTGGTTGTTTTGGGAAAACAGTTTATAAACTGATTTTTGTAGTTTTGGTATTTAAAGCAAAAAAAAAAAAACAAACCTTTTGGTAACTGTGCACTGCGTCCTTAGCACGGCGGTGCCGACTGATGAAGACGCTGCAGCTTGAAAGGGGCTTTGCTGGGGGCGCCCCCTTAGCCACGCACAAGCCCACTCTATTGCCTGCTTTGTGCTTTCTGCACCAGACAGCCTGACGGAACATTTGCACCTGAGTTGTACATTTTTGAGGTGTGCAGGGCAGCCTGGACACACCGCTTAGATTCCATGTGTATAGTTCCCCGTGTCCTCTAACACACCCTCTCTGGAAAGCATATGTACATAATACGCGTCATGTCCATTTGACACCTGGCCACCCGGTGGGAACCCTGGGGCTGTCTGCTATCTCCCCAGGCATGACCGATGACAGTTCCCATTTCATCAGTTCGTTTTCTTTTTTTTTTTTTTTCTTTAATTCTTGGACATTAAACCCTGCATAGGATTCAATAGGGTTTGAGATGTACGTGTGACACTGACAGGTAAAACAGTGCTAGCAGTTTAGTTTCCCTCTACCTTATAAAAAAAAAAAAAAAAAGTTTACTCCAGATGCTGTATGATATTGGAAAAGTTTTCCACCACCCAGCTGAAGCGATGTGCAAGCCGGCCTCAGAGTAGAGGAGAAGTTCTTAGGAAGTAAGTGGTAGTGCCTTGCTGCCTGCTCCGCTGATAGGATCCCTTGCTCCCCCCCCCCCCCGCCCCCCCCGCGGCACTTAGCACGTTGATAATGACCCCTGGTCTGCACCTGCACCAGACAGTGCTGACCCGGTGAGGGGAAGAAACATGCTTTCCGTTGTTGCCTCTGAACAGGGTGCGCATCCATCTCCACTAGTTCCCCTTCTGACCAGCAGCAGCACGTTCGCAAAGAGGTTCACTAGGGAGAAGGGGCGCGTTTTACAGCTATGAACACGTGAGGTTTCCCCCCATTGGAAGCTAATTAGCCCGCCAAGGTATTGAACCTCTAGCTTGGGCCTTAATTAGCATTGTACTCTAATCAAAGGACTCTTCCCCAACCATATTTATAGCTCTCTAACCTACACATAGTCTATATATAGATGCATATTTCACCCCCAGCTGGCTAGAGATTTATTTGTTGTAAATGCTGTATAGGATTTGTTTTTTTGTTCTTCCTTCTCCTGGTTTGGGTTTTCTTTTCTTGATGGATTTACGCTGTCTTAGCAAGAATGAAACTAACCCTCTGTAGCCTGAGCTCTCCTCCCCGCCCCCCACCCCACGCTGTAACTACCGGGCCTGTGCTGTCACGGGACACAGGATGGCGTATCACCGTTGCATTCCCATTGGACTCATGCACCTCCCGGATGGTTTTGGGTTTTTTTTTTTATTTCTTTTGTTTTGTTTTATTTTTGCTTCTTTTCCAGAGTGTGGAAAGTCTACAGTGCAGAAAGGCTTTAACCTGCCAGTTGATTTGAAATACTTTCCCCGCGCAGGGCCGTATGCAATCCTGCCAAGCTGCGTTATATTCTGTACTGTGTACAATAAAGAAGTTTGCTTTCAGTTTACCAAGTGCCTGAAACCTGCCTCTTTCTTGCCCTCTGTGGTCTCACTGGAAAGCAAGCAGAAGCCACCTGGCTTTCTCTCTCTCTCATTCTCTCTGATCTCCCTCTCCCTTAACCTTAATTAACCTTAAATATTATTTAACCTTACCAGTGGACTGGAGTTGAGACTAATTACAGGAAGCTGGAAATAGAAGTGCCCCGTGCTCTTTGGCTCACCTCTCAAACTCTGGTGAAAAATTGGGATCTGAAGCATGAGGAGGTAGAGAGGTCCTCTCCCCAGCCAGTGGTGAGCTGAGACCACCCCATCCCCTTGTGCCCACCTACCTGCTCAAAATTTGTAACCATTTGCCAAAGCCTAGCTCCCGTTTGGACCCTGGATTTTGTGAAAGATTACTAACTAGGCTAGAACTTTGAGTCCCAGAGTGATTGGAGCTCAGCCCCTCAGATACATACTTACAAAACCAAGAGGCACCTAAGGAATTCTTCATTACTAATTTTCCCCCAACAAGCTTTGATCTCAACAAGTAAAATTTTTACCAATATCAGGCTGTTCCTTGAGAATGACAACAAAGACTTGGGGAAGTCTTGGCCTGTTTCTTTCCTGGCCATGCAGCAGAAGGATTTTTTCTTCCTGGGGTGTCTCCTCGTGGGCATGTATTGTTGGGGGTGGGGGTGTGGTGGAAGGAAATATTGGCTGGGTGCCGTGTTACTCTTTCACGCTTTTCTGCACCTTCCTTTGGGCTTTTCAAGACTCCCATTACAGGAGAGAAATAAGTAGAACCTTTTACCAGGCCTCTTAACAGAAGGCTTTCTGTAAATTTATCTACTGTCTTTCTTTCACTGTTTTACAAGCCCGTAAGTGTACAAACATCTGAGACTGAATCCGTGCATAGCGGCTCGAATCGGAGCTTGTGGGGCCTGAATGCCTGCCACATAAACCCATTAGCTTCGACAGATTAAGAGGAGATGCCTGGGGACAAGGCAGGGGAGCCCAGGACAAAACGAGCTCTGCCTCTCAGCTTCACCACGATTAAGTCTGTGACAATCAGTTCCCCATTATTCACGGGATCATTATCCAACCCGGGCCTGGACCCAGATCATTAACCTAATGCCGGAGGTCACCAAACACTGGGCCGCCCTTCTAGCGTTGGGTGCTAGGATAAGGAAGCCCAGAAAATGTGAAGTTTACTCTTCATCGAGGTCCCCTTTCGTGAGCCAAGCCAGGCAGACAATGCTTACTCAGTTGTTAGATGACAAAGAGGTAGTGTGAGGGCAAAAGAATGCGGTCATGAGAGCCCGGGTATGTGCAGAATCTAAATTCTAACGCAGCTGGGACAAACGTAGACGAATGTGGAAGAAAAACACTCATGTACCCAGATGGTTGGACACCTTAGACAATCCATTGCCCGGTGGTGTAGGTGGCTGGAGCTCCATGTGTGGCCTCGAACACAAGCAAAAGGGTTCGGAAAAGGCCAGAAAAGCATCAGTTTTAGCACATATATTTATGTAAGCATTGATTTTATTTAGCATAAATGCACTGTACTTAAAGTAGGTGGTGGGAGTGAGAGTGGTGGTCAGACCAGACGCTGGGTCCTGATCAAATACACTGATGTCCCAGACGCTGGTCCTTGAGCCATCAGCCTTTCTTCTGCTCCTCCAGTTTAAGACCTGAATCCATACCCAAGCCTTGTTTGTTGACCTTGGCAGTGAACCTCAGAGAGCTCACCTTTGAATGGCACTTAACAGTTTACAGAGCACTTTTTCGTCCCCATTATCTTTTTGGCAGGCTTTCTTAAATGGTAACACTCTGTTGAAATCGAATCTGAAAATACAGCTGTTAAGCCTCCCAAAGTACTTTCTTGGAATGTTCACTGTGGCTGCTGTGGGGAGAGGACTAGACACGGGGGTTCTGGCCCCAGCTCTGGAACTGACCGGATTAACTCGATGATCTCAGAGCCATCCTGACCCTACCTCCCAGGTCAGCGAGGGCATTGACAAGCCGATGCTTCTGGATCTCTTAGGAGGTATGAGAGAGAGAAGTTCCTTCGGGAGTTCAAGGTGTGTGTGTGTGTCTGTGTGTGTGTGTGTGTGTGTGTGTGTGTGTACACATGCGTGCAAAGGTTTAACAGTTAAAAACATTCTCATAAATTCTCATTACTTCTGAGGAAGCTCTGAAGATTGCTGAGTCCCACCATTAAAGATATGTGCTTGTTCATTTCCCATGCCTCTGTGGGGCACCTGCTAGAAGCCAGGCACTGCTGGATGCTGAAGATAAATGACCTCGGATGGCCTTTTTCAAATAAAACCCTGTTCGTGGCACGGTAGTACCTTAGTGACTCCGTAAACGGTATAGTCGCTAGCTCACGGCTGCTCGGTCACAAACGCCACTGACGCCGCCATCTTCGGACCACACTGACCAGAGGCTGAGGAGGGCGGGCATTTCCCCTCGAGGTACTTCCCACCAGGAAGAGCAGAGGGTAGGCCCGGGGGTCCGTGTGCTGGGAGCTGTTGGCAGAGACCGGAACGCCGGTGGGCTTAGGCAAAGCAGAGCAGGGATGTGGGGTGGTGACGCCCACTTCCCGCATTAGCAGGGCTCTCCTGGATGACCTTGGTTGTTCGGTCTCCATACTTAAGGTGGGTGATTCTTTGCTTCCGTCGTTCCGTTAACCAACATTTATCAAGCATCTCTTTTGTATAAGACAGTGCAATAGATGCTTCGAGGCGGGCGTGGGGGGTCACACAGGGAAACCCACCCTCCCCTTAAACAGCTCACAGGCTAGTGGGAAAAATGGTTTTCTACGTGAAACTAGAATACAAGTTGTAACTATTACTCATCCAGTAAATTGTGCCTGTGCTATGCCAGGCACAGCTCTGCAATCAGTGGCGGGAGGACAAAAAGAGGTGCAAGTCTCTTGCTCTCAGGGATCTTACCTCTGGAGAAAGGGGTAAAAACCACATGAAACACATAATGACGGTGTTCTTTAGATGGTGTTCAGTACCGCGGCGAAAATAAAGCAGGGAAGGGAAATAGTGAACGGTGAGGTGTGGGGGTTGTGATTCTAAGCAGGGATGTCAGGGAAGACCTCACGGCTGGATAAAGACTTGAAAAAAGTAAAATACCCGGATGGATCGCTGAAAGAAAAGCATGTGGACCGAGGGAAGAGCAAGTGTGAGGCCCTGGAACTTTGAATACTGAGGAATATTGAGGAATAGCGAGGCCTGTGACTCAGAACAGAGGGAGCGAGATGCGGCGGGGCACACACAGAGAGAAAGGCAGAAAGAAGTTGTGGTTGTATTATCTAGGGACAGGCAGGCTCTTGAAAGACTCTTAATGTTTAGCTGTCAGAGGTTTTGAGAGACAAGTGACATAATCTGACCTGTATTTGAAAGGACCCCTCTGGCTGCAGAGTTGAAAATATAGGGAACAGGGAAGGAAACCCAAGCCTGTATCATAGGCTCTACAGTAATGCAGGCGAGGTGACACGTGGTTTGGTCCAGGCCACAAAGAGGCCATAGTCTGGCTGTATTTCTAAGGTAGAGCCAAGGTTTTAGATGTGTAGAGTGAGAGAAAGAGAGGAATCTGTTATGGCTCCAAGGTTTTTTGGCCTGGGCACAAGGAAGTTGCAAAGCTGCCATTTACAGCTACTTACTGAGATAGAGGAGGAGAGATTGGGGGTGGGAGGGGGAGAAGAACAGGCCTCCTGTTTTGAATGCATTAACTTTGAGATGCCTATTAGAAATCCAAATGGGAACACTGATTTGGATATACAAGTCAGGAGTTCAGGGGAGAGACCCAGACCAGAGAGACAAAGAAGTCATCAGTGTGGATTTAGAGCTGAAGCTGGTAAGATCACTAAGGGAACATGTCTAGATAGAAAAAAGAAGAGTTCCCAGGACTGAG